TGTGCCCGAGAGTTCCGCAAACTGGGCTTCTCAGTGAGTGACCTCTACCCAGCTCTCACCCCTGCCTCAGCCCAGGGCTATTGTTCCAGAGGGCCAGGGCCCTTCTTGAACTACTTATACCCCTTCTCCCAGAATAGCAACCCAGCGCAGGACCTAGAACGTGTGCCCCCTGGCCTGCTGGCCCTGGACAACATGGTGTACTTCTCCAGACACGCACCCAGTGCATACAGCCGGGTCAGTGCAGGGAGGGGTGGTGGTTAGCAGCACCCCCCCTTCCCTTAACACAGTCTCTGTGGGCTTATCTATGACTCTCCAGCCCATTCTCTGCTCCTTCCCACCCCAGTTTGTGTTGGAGAACAGCAGCCGTGAGGACAAGCATGAGTGCCCCTTTGCCCGGAGCAGTGTCCAGCTGACGGTGCTGCTATGTGAGCTGCTCCATGTTGGGGAGCCCTGTAAGCAGGACTTGCCTGAGCACTGTGAGAACAGGGGGCGGAAGGGCAGAGAGGGCCAGGGGCTATACACACTTTCTCCCTGAGCCCCTCCTGCCCCCCTGCTCCAGGCTCTGAGACGGCCCAGGACTTCTCGCCGATGTTCTTCAGCCAAGACCACAGTTTCCATGAGCTCTTCTGTGTGGGCATCCAGCTGCTGAACAAGACCTGGAAAGAGATGCGGGCTACACAGGAGGACTTTGACAAGGTAGAGAGCTGGGAAACCTGGGCCAGGACAGGGGGCTCTTCTGGGCCATGTGCACAGAGCTTAGGCCCTGAGCTGAACTTGGGGTGCTGCAGGTCTTGCAGGTGGTACGGGAGCAGCTGGCCCGAACACTGGCCCTGAAGCCCACCTCCCTAGAGCTCTTCCGCACCAAAGTGAATGCACTCACCTATGGTGAAGTGCTGCGGCTGCGGCAGACAGAGAGGCTACACCAGGAGGGCACGTTGGCTCCTCCTATACTGTGAGTCCTAGTCCTGGCCCCACCTTCCTGGGCACCCACAGGCCATGCCCCAGGTCGGTCCTGGTCAGTGACTCTCCCCTCAATCCAGGGAGCTGCGAGAGAAACTGAAGCCAGAGCTCATGGGCCTGATCCGACAGCAGCGTTTGCTCCGCCTCTCTGAGGGGACTCTCTTTCGCAAGATCAGCAGCCGCAGGCGCCAGGGTCTCTCAGCAGGCAGAGGTGGGGTGGAGGGTGGTTGGCTTGGGGTTAGGACCCTAGCAGTACTTCTGTTCTCTTCCCCTTTCTCTGCATAGACAAGCTGTGGTTCTGCTGCCTGTCCCCCAATCACAAAGTGCTACAGTATGGGGATGTGGAGGAAGGCACTGACCCACCTACCCCCGAGAGCCTGCCTGAGCAGCGTAAGAAGGGTGAGGGCTGGGGCTAGACACCTGCTCCCCCCAGACCACCTCATGCCCTAGGGCCACCTGGGCTCCCAGTGGTCAGCCCAGTCTTATTCCTGCAGTCCCTGTGGCTGACATCAGGGCACTCCTGACAGGCAAAGACTGCCCCCACGTCCGGGAGAAGGGCTCCGGGAAACAGAATAAGGTGAATGCTATGGGGCCAGGGGCTCCCTCCTGTTTGCCCCTGCATGCCCTGCTCCCTGCTCAGTGCCCCTGCTTCCTTGCTTCCCCAGGACCTTTGTGAGTTGGCTTTCTCAGTCAGTTATGACCGTGGGGAGGAGGAAGCGCACCTCAACTTCATTGCACCCTCCAAGCAGGAGGTGAGTGTCTGGGCCATACTGAGTTGACTGGATGGGCAGGGGGGAACAGATGGGCAGGCCCTCATGTATCTGGTCCTGTCTCCAGTTCCACTTGTGGACAGATGGGCTGAGCGCCCTGCTGGGCAGTCCCATGGGTAGTGAGCAGACGCGGCAGGACCTGGAGCAGCTGCTGACCATGGAAACCAAGCTGCGGTTATTGGAGCTGGAGAATGTGCCCATCCCTGAGCGGCCACCTCCTATACCTCCACCCCCTACAAACTTCAACTTCTGCTATGACTGCAGCATCACTGAACCCTGACAGGGAGATTGGCCAAGGGCCACAGCTGCTGCCAGTGCTACAGCCCTGAAGGGTGGAGGGTAGAGAAACACAGCACCTTGACCCACAGGGACTGCAGCAGAAATAAAGTCTGCTTGGCTCTTGATATGTGTTGAACCAGCTCTGAACCATATGGGCCAAGCCTATGACCAACAGTGACAGTCTTCCCCTTCTGCCTTCAAACTTAGCTGGTAGATAAGATAGGACTTTGGGCTAGAACTGCAACTTGGGTAGCTGCAGTTGGGGATCTGGTGTTCTGGTGGGTGGCAGACAGGCTGGAGCTCTTGCTCTTCTTCAGTATGAGCCCTCAGCCTCCCTCAGTGCTGGGTCTGTGGAGAGGAATGGCCTGTGGTCTGGGGACACCAGCCAAGGGGGAGAGATGGCAGAGCAGGAGGCATTGCCCCAAATGGGCACCTTCCTGGGCAGCATAAACAGAGACTAGTTTGAGGACCCTGATTCCAGAGGGCTCCTGACAGTCTGAACTCAGTCCTCAACCCTGGTAGCCCTGCCTGGTGGCCTTTGTGGGACTTGGAGGCTGCTGCTGATAGGCATAAAGGAAGAGATGTGGAGCTAGGCCTGCTTTCTGCTGAAGGGCAAACTCAAGATGCCAAAGAGTGGCCAGGGTGGTGTTTTGTGCCTTTAATCCCAGCACTGTGGGAGGCCAAGGTGGGAGGATCAAGCTTGAGCCCAGAAGTTGGAAGCTGCAGTGAGTGTGCTATGATCAACTGCTGCATTCCAGCTTGGGTGACAGAGCGAGACCCTGTTTCAAAAAAAAAAATTCTGAAGAGCATCCCCAGGCCAGTGGGAGGATATGGGCTGATTCTGACAGGAGGTACGTCTGTCCAGGAAGCCCTGCTTTCTGACTGAAATCTAACTGGGAAGCATGGGTGGGGTTGGACCTTAGGCAAACCAGAGCCTCTGGGAACAGAAGTGGCATTGGGTTCAGGCTCAGAGGCTGTGGTCATAGGTTCTAAACCACCTGAGGAAGAAAGAACCCAGCAGTCTGTGAGACGCACAGGGCAGGCTAAAAGCTGCCACCATGTTGACTTCCTTTCTCCATGCTACTCATCTCTTCTCTCCCCAACGCCTTCTCCAAGACCAAGTTTAACAGTGTTAACAAGCAGCTTGGTGCCTGTAGCTCAGCGGCGAGGGCACTAGCCACATACACCGGGGCTGGTGGGTTTGAACCCGGCCTGAGGCCTGCTAAACAACAATGAAACTACCAAAAAAAAAAAAAATAGCCGATGTTGTGGGGGGCACCTATAGTCCCAGCTACTTGGGAGGCTGAGGCAAGAGAATTGCTTCACTAAGAGTTTGAGGTTGCTGTGAGCTGTGACACCACAGCACTCTATCGAGGATGACATAATGAGATTCTGTCTCCAAAAAAAAGGCTGGGTGCAGTGGCTTACGCCTGTAATCCAAGCACTTGGGAGGCCAAGGTGGGTGGATTGCCTGAGCTCACTGGTTTGAGACCATACTGAGCCACAGTGAGACCCCGTCTCTAGAAAATAGCTGGGCATTGTGGCTGGTGTCTGTAGTCCCAGCTTCTTGGAAGGGTCAAGCAAGAGAATCACTTAAGCCCAAGAATTTGAGGTTGCTATGAGCTAAGATGCCACAGCACTCTACCGAGAGTGACCAAGTGAGACTCTGTCTCAAAAAAAAAAAAAAAATCAGTGTCAACAAGCAATATTTCAAGCTGACCTTGAAAACTGATGATATGGCACCTTTGGAGAATGTGCTGGGGGTTTCTGTTCCCTTCCCCCAGCAAAGCTTCTGGTTATGGGCATCCAGGGCCCTGCATACCTGTGCCTGGCTCAGAGACTCCTCCCCCAACTTGAGAGTATGCTATTGAGTTTTAGGTGGAAATGGGGTCAGGTCCCTGACACAGTTGGTCTTCCAATCTTGTCAATTCTTCCTTTTCAACATCTCCAGTCCCTTGCCTACACCACTGTCATTTTGGCAGCAACCTCCTGACTTTGGCCTCTAGTGTTGCCCCTCCAGTCCTCTCAATAATTTCTCACGCGTGAGTCTGACCTACTCACATAAACACATCCTACATTCCTCAGCATCTCCCTGTTGTCCAAGGGTTAATGGTCACGATTTTCATAAATGAGCTCCAAGTTGATGGGCTGCAGACATGTAGTTTAGCCCTTCCAACTGAGTACTTTTGGCTTGAAGGCTTCTTGGTGCTTGGTCTCAGCTAGCATCCTCCCTGCACCCCATCGAGGCCTAACCCCCCCCTCCCCCCCCCGGTGCTGGCTCTGGCATGCACCTGTGTACCCTCACGGTCCCTTCTGCCTGTTTTTCACTGCCTTGATTCCTTCCTGGACCCTTCAGGCCAAGTTTGTTGCTCCCCCAGGCTCCTGGTCCCAGGTGCTTGTTTCTCCATACACTCCACACACACTATCCTTGCCTAGTGGCTCATCTGCCTCCCTAGCTGGCCTGGGAGCTGGGAAAGGGAAGCTGTGGCCTCTGAATCCCCACACAAAGCACAGTACCTGCGGGCACTTGGAGAGCCTTGGGAAGCTGCTCCTAGAATCCAGGAACAGATAGATAGATAAGGTGTTTGGGACATGCTGAGTACCAACTGGACAGACTATTTCTCAGAGATGCCACTGAAAAATTACCAGCACTATTTTAGGGGATTGGACTGGGTGAACTCTCATAACTGGGCCTACCCAGAAATGCCATCTTCCTTCTTTCTTTTCTTCCCTTCCTCCCACCCTCCTCAAGATAGCCTCATTGACTAAGCCATCTTTAATCAGTTGCTCCTGGAGTCTGCCTTGGATAAATGCATATGACGTGCCCTATTGCACAACCCAAAAGCTTGTGCTGGGAGTGGCCTTGCAGGCTGGGCTTGGGTCTTTAAGTTGTCTGTGTGGCTCTGGTATTTTTTCCATCTGCCTCAAGGCCACTTCAACTGAAGTGGAGAGGGGAGGGACACTTTAGTCTGAGAACTTAAGACGAGGAGGCACTATCTGGAATGTTTAATCTTATTTGGGTTTACAGCAAAGACCTGGGCTCAGCCGCTAAAGCCCAGTGCTCATAGGGGGTTAGGATGGCTCCCACGGGGGACAGGCAGCGCACAGGCCTATAGTCTGAGAGGTACGCAGGCAAGAGGCACAGGTCTGCTTCTCCTCAGCACCAGGCCCAGCCTGCTGTGCGCCTGGCCAGGAAAGCATGAGCTTGTGGCAGCAATGTGTAGCTGGAAAGAGGTGGTGGCAGATGGGCAGAAAATCTCTGGGCTGCCCTGGATTGGTCCCACTCCTAGTCTTAGACAAGTGATCTATAGCAGAGGATGCCAAGAGGCATAGAGAAGCCAGGGCTGGGGTCCCAGGGGTAGAGGAGACTGAGTCATAGGGCTGGTTACTGACCTGGCCTCAGAGTGTTAGTGTCAGGTCAGCTCCTCCCACGAAGCGGGACTGGATGCAGGTCACCTGGGGCAGCTGGGCTTGGAAGCGCCTGACAGCAGCCATGTTAATGCCAGAACACATGGCTACATCCAACACACGGAGCTGTTTGCACACCTGCCCAATGGTGTCCAGCGTTCTGTGGAGAGGCCACTGAATGAGTGCCTGGCCCAGCCTGGGGCCCCCGCCCACCCCTGCACTGTGGCTCCACGTGCTCAGTGTCACTGGACACACTCACTGTTCTGTGAGCTGACTGCAGCTGGACAGGTTGAGGTGTTGCAGCCTTGGCCAAGAGCTGGCTGCCTGGGCCCAGCCCTCATCACTGAGGCAGGTGCAGTGACTCAGCGCTAAGCGCTCCAGGCTAGGACAGCCCCTGGCCACGGCCACCAAGCCCATGTCTGTGAGTGCTGGCAACAGGCTCAGTGACAATTGCCTTAACTGAGGGAACTGGAGCACCTGCAGGGATGGGATAAGGTGGGCTAAGTGCGGTATGGTGCTGGAGCCAGAGCCTGGGGCCCTCCCAGTTTCCCCTACCCCCAGCCAGGGGAGTGCCCAAGGGCAGAAGTCAATGAGAAAACAGTTATGAAAAGCAGGTTGGCCCAGGCCCCCTAATCCTTAGCCTCTCCACACACCCAACCCCACACCTTGGCCAAACTGGCATCAGTCAGCTTGCTGCAGGCTGTGAGGTCCAACTCCTGCAGGGCCTGCAGCATGAGCAGGGAGGGGCCCTGTGGCTCAGGAGAGGGGTGTTTCAGGTCTGGCAGCTGATGTTCCAGCTCAGGTTGTGGCTGTGGAAAGAAGTCCCTGCTTCTCAGGTTCTTCCTGAGTTTGCCCTTAAATGCTCCTAGAGAGTTTTGGGAGAGGCCGGAGAGTAGCTGGGCCCATGGGCCACCACCAACCCCATGACTGTGAGGGTCCCACACCTGGGGCCTCTGTGCAGGTTCCTCACGTGGTTCCCCCAGCCCCAGAAGGCCCCAGTCGCGGAGCTCCTTGCACCAAGCCAGGCGCAGAACTGAAAGATGGGTGAGGTAGGTACAGATGGCCTGCACGGTCCGGTTGGTGAGGGTCACACAGGATGACAGGTCTAGCACTCTGAGGCTTGGGCCCAGTGCAGGGATCACGGAGCGCACTGAAGCATCCTAGGAGGAAGGTAGGAGGAAAGAGGATGGAGTGACAGCTTGTGCCTGTGCCATCAGGCTTGGCAGGAGTCCCTAGGAAAGGTCTGTCTAAAGCAGAGGTTCTCAACCTGTGGGTCACAACCCCTTTGGACTGTATTAAAGGTTTGTGGCATTAGGAAGGTTAAGAACCACTGATCTGGCTCGGCGCCTATAGCTCAACTGGCTAAGGCGCCAGCCACATACACCTGGGGTGGTGGGTTCGAATCCCCAGCCTGGACCCGCCAAACAACAATGACGGCTGCAACCAAAAAAAAATGGCCGGGCGTTGTGGC